AAGAGAAAAAAAATATAAATCCAACAAAAAGAATTCCAAATTAATTCACTTAACCACTTTCCTTCAGAAAAAGAATTATAGTAAAATTCCAAAAATTTTTGTCTTTCATAATCGGTTCGGCTAATTTCGACCACAAATTATATGTTGATTTATATATTTATATATATTATTTAAAATATTATACAAAAATATAAAACAAAATTTTCTAAAAAAATATATATATTATAAAAACGAAAACGATATAAAAAATATTATATCAAAACAAATCCAAAAATAACTATTTATTTCATTTCGAAATATTTCATTTTCATTTCATCTGCCGGCAACCGTGCTGGTTGCCCGTGTTGGGCCGCAGCTGGATTTCTCCAGGCCGGACACTTCGGGAGTGTCAAGGCACCAGGTTCGAAAAACAGGCGTGCTTATGCAAAGCGATCGTTGAGCAATTCATCAAAACTCTTTGGCTTCATAGGCAAAGGATGTATCCAATGCTGGCTTGTGCAAGACTTGGGGATGATCCAAAGGAGGTAGATAGAGGATGCGATGTCCGGGTCGACACCCAAAGGAAGGGCGGATCGGAAGTCATCACAAGACTTGACTGTGCCACTGTGCCAAAGAATGCTACGATAATGGCCTTCGGCGGGTGTTGCACCCAGGTGAATGACCCCCGCGGTCACGACAAAATCATGCCACTCAACATGGATGCCTTGGCGATCACTGAAAATCGGAATCTGCACTGGCTGACTTCTATCCCATAGAACCGAACAATGGCATTTCTGGCCGATGAAAGGAAAACGGGACACCTGAATGCAAATCCAAGGGGAGTCACATGTAAAAGCATGGACAAAAGGCTCTTGATGATGCCAGTTGTTGATCAGCTGCTGAAGGGTAATGAGCCCTTCAATTGGACATGCCATAGGAACAGGAGCGAACACGTCTGCTTGATCTTCTGTGGAATTCAGCAATCGAGAGCACCAACCCTGCTGCATATACTGTGGGAGCGTTTTTTTTCAAGCAGCCGATGTCGAAACCATCCAGCAAATTCACCAGCATCATGCTGATCGCGACTTGGATGGTTCTGGAACCAGTCTACAAGCAGGCGGCCTAGAAATTGGTCTGCACATGGGTCCACAACAACCCCTGCATGCTCAACGAACATGCTCAAAAATTGTTTCTCCCATGCTCCCCAAATGGCGGTATTGAAGGTCAAGCTCATGACGCTACTCCAGGTTTGGGCCTGCAGAACACTGTTGATATAGCAAGTGCTGCCGGAGCCACCCAGTTTGGTCTCGAGGATGCCCGTCACGATCTCCTCAATCGTTGTGAGATGGCATTGGCTAGAGGAGAGCGTTGCAGGTTGGCTCCCCGTACCCGAAGGAGAATCAACTGTGTGATTCCATTTCCAGCTAGCTTCTGAAGAAGCTGGAAGAGTTCGGATGCCTCGGGAGACCTCAGGCTGAGGTCCAAGCGCCATGGTATTGCAGTCGTGGCGTCCTGAGGGAGGGTGTCCTGCTTGACCGGTCGCAAGGCCGAGAACTTGTGAATCACTCCAGGTTGCTGGCCGAGATGCGCTATTCGTTCCAACAGCGAGCGAATCTCCTCCGTGGTCAGGGGTGGCATCCGATTTGGTTTGAGCATCATGGCTTGACTGTCCCAAGAGAGATATGCCCATTTGCTGTCCTCTGTCAAGATGCCTTTGGATCTCAGATTCAATACCAATGCGTCGTCGCTTGCATCGAGCTTCAAGAGTTGAGCTCTCTGTGCAAGGAGCTGAAAGCACTGCAGAAACATGTGCATCCTCAGTGGCATGGTGGCTTCTCCTTTCTCCTTGAGCTGGTTCCATTCTTTGGCTTGGGTCAACAAAGTCGGCATGATGCTCCCTCTGCCGCATTGGATGAAGAACATAAAGCTCTTGTCCAGCTGAAGTTGGGAGATGGCATCTTCCTGCCTCAGAGTCAGGCGGGCAAGCATACGAAGAAGGTCGTCGTTGCCTCCAGACAACGTGGAGGCCGAGGATGGAGAGAATCTGGCTGCAGGACCCTTGCCAGGTCTCTGTATTCCATCCGTAGCAACCCGTGGTCTTTTGCCAACGTTCTGTGCGCATGCATCGAGGAGATCCGTAAAGCTCTGATCGTCTGCAAACATCTCGTCGGCCATCGAAACGAGTGAGAGCGCACCACAGTTGCCAATCTTGGGCCAATGAATGCTCAATCAAATGAAGAGCTTGATTGATGTCAGTCAGCTGATCATGAAACGTGTCGGACAACGTAGTGGGCGGAACGGACTCTGGTGTGCAGTCCCTTGAGTGCCAAGCCCATGTGAGCGGATGCAGTTCATGAAGGAAGGCCACAAAGTGAAAGAACGGGTCCTGTGGCAGTCTCGAGTGGGGTACATCAGAATGATGGGAAATCATGCAGATCGTCTGATGATACCAATTCAACTTGGCTTCAGGTTCAAAGGACAGGACACGACAGAATGGGTCCAGTTGCTGACGAACTAGCGAACATGCTATGTCAGGAGTCCAAGTGTGCAGTTCCTCTGGGCGCAGGAGGCCTAAATGCCAAGGTAAACGAACCTGATCCGAATCTGAAATGGGCACCTCAAGATCCATGTTGTCTGATGGCATGCTCGGGGCACCAAAATGCTGATGACTGGCCCAATTGCAAAGCAAGACCGGACAAGAAGCACGTTGGAAATGGGTGCGCAAGGCCACCTCCATAGTGAACTGGGTGTGACAGTGCTTGCATGCAAGATGACCCCTATGCATGTCCTGGACCGGATCAAAGGGGAAACCATCAGGCCTGTGGACATCATGATATTTCCGAAGATGGCTGATGAGGGCTTTACGGCCTACGTAGTCTTGACACAATGGGCATCTATACATCTTTGCGGGCTCCGGGCAGGGTCCATCAGGATGAGAAGCGAGCATCAATTTCACTGTGACCTTGGCAGTGCGAAGTTCGGATCCCGATGGGGCCGATGTGGTCTGGTCAAGCGGACGATCCATCTGAGCATGCTTCGGGTGCTTTTGATGATGAGTGATCAGTCCAGTCTCGGTCAGGAAGGTGGTATTACAAGCAAGACATTTGAACAAAGGGGTTGTTCGAGCACTTGGACCAGCCCCTTCGGTGTCGTCATCAACCTCCATCGGAGTCGGCCGTGTGTCGGATGGAGGCGCCAGGGGGGCAGCTTCACTGGGAGTCTCGGGCTTGTCTGCATTTCCTGTACCTGATGACGGTCGGTTGGCCCGAGGCGGTCGCATCATAGTGGGCATGACAGGAAAATGCGAAACATCATATGTCTGTCCAAGCAGAATGCTAATCTGAAGCAAGACTCCACATTTATGTGTGCGTACATCATTGCATTGTTGCTCACACAAGACACACGTGCCTTTTCCACTACCTAGATTAGCAAGGCCATACACTTGATCGCGATGCAATGCTTCATAAACCAAAAGACCTTGATGTCGTTCTCCATAGTGTTTACGAATGGAGCGAGCAGGCACGGCAAGGTGACAAAAGACCCAGTGGTGTGCAATTTCACAGACCAGGGCTTTGTCCAGTAGAATACCTGGGATGGACTTGTAGCGCAAATGCATTCTCAATGACTGGCGGTCAGCAATCGGCACGATGGTCTCCTTGTGCGGATCAAACTGGAGACAAACTCTGGCATTGATATGATATCGAAGGCGATATATATCAGCAAATTGCTTGTGACAGTGTCTACATGTTGCCTTCCCTTCAAATGAATCACGCAGGGGATCAAACAAATCTTCGATGTGGCAGGGAATCTGGTGTGCAGTACGCATATGTCGTTTCCAGGGTCCTGCCTGATGAAAAGCTCGATCACACTCTGGACATTTGAGTTCAGGTGCCTGAGAGAACGAGAGTGAAGCCGTGGGTTCATGTTGTAATTGGTTATCAGGGTATGCTGGGGTCAAAACGCATATATCTTGCTGACCAGTCTGCATGGCTTCACGGATCAGGATGTCACGACGTCGACTCAGGGAGTCGTTCAGACGAGTTTGTTGTCGAACAAAATAGCACCATGGAGGTTCAATGTGCATACGTGAATAGAAGGCCGTGTTGGTTTCACGGGTGAGGTGCACAGGGGATCTGGTCATGGTCCTATGATGTTTGGTGATCATGCCATTGATCATCTGAAAACTGCGAGTTGAAATCCCCATCTCGTGGATGCCATATGAGACTGTGGGTAAAACACATTGGTTATACAACCTAAGACGAATTGACAATGGGTGATGCTGATCCAGGAGCCATTTCCTCAAGATGCGGAAGCAAACATTTGCAGCTTTGACTCTACGAACAACGGTGTCGTGATCAAATGCGCGATAGCTCAACGTGACACCTAGGTAGTCTGTCCTACTGACTAGAGGAAGGCTTAAGGATTGATCTGGCAGGTGCAAACGAGGTCCTTCTTTTGTTCTCGACGTCCATCGTTTCAAAAACGTCTGAGCGGACTTTCCCACAAGGCGCAAGATGGCAACACTTTTGGTCAGATTGACCCTGAAATGGAAAGCCTTGAGCGTACCCAGCACCACAGTTAGATCATGTAAGGCCGACAGGCCCGAGGCCGGACTATCTATGAGCCACCTGAGGTGAATGTCGTCTGCATATATGACAATGTGGGAAATGATCCAGGGCAGATCGAAACAGGCCATCAAGTGGTCGAGGAGCAGGTACATGCTCAAGGTCCATAGCAAAGGGGCATCTTTGGACCCCTGCTTTATACCCCGGCTGGCTGTGACGTGTCCGATTAAATCTTTATGGGGTATGCAGTACTTATGTTTGTGTTGCCAAGACTGAACAAGGAGTTGAAGGTCTGGGTTCATCTCGAATCGTTGGATGGCTCGAAGTACCAAGTTTCGGTCAATGGCATCAAAAGCCTTCTCAAGATCGAGTGAGCCCTGAAGGCCACCCCACAGTCCAGACTTAGATGGATCACTTTTGTGGTCCTGGCACAGTGCTTTGACCTGTCGACAGTGGTCAGAAGTCAGCAGGAGACAGTCCTGTGTGCCGCGGTGCGGTAGGTAGGCATACAGGGGAACCCGGCAGAGGGATGGAAGTGCATGTTCCAACACTTGTGCACAATGAATGCCCGAGAGGATTTTACTGACTGGGTGCTGAAGACAAATAGGTCGAAGTGCAGCAGGATGATTGGGAGGTTTATGGGGCTTACTGAGGAGATGCAGCCATCCAGTGGCCCAACGTGAGGGGGGAATTCCCGACTGAGTCCAGGCGCATTCGATGGCGGGGTAAACAACTGCTGCAATGTCGTGTGCGAAGACTTTCCAAATCAGTCCCGGCATTCCGTCCGGAGCAAGTGCCTTCGTAGCAGGAAGTTTGGAGAGGCCCATTGCAACCTGATCCTTAGTGAATGGGATGGAGTTCAACGGAGCAGGTGCTAACTCAAAATGCTCATCATGGAACATAGTGCCAAAGTGATCAACAAGGACAGCGAGTTCCTGGTGCGGAAGAAGAGGGGCGCCAAATCTATCATGCAATTGTATCTTACGAAAAGGCTTCTTAGGACAGAGTTTACGGATGTTGCGATACCAATCGTACATACGATTAGACAAAGCATGGGGAACATTCTCCTTCAAGAATTGCTCAAGCTTGTGTCGTTTGTTGATCTTACCAAATTTACGAATCTGAGCATGCAAACGCGCAAAGATGGTGAGGTGTTTCCAACTGTGGAATAGTGTGCAAACATGAACGTACAGAACCTGTCTAGCCTGTCGACGTGCATGCCACATACGGGCCGTGAGGGATACCACAGTCTTGTCAGAAGAAAATTGTTTTTTCGGACGAGGAAAATGCTCAAGACACAATTCTCTAAGATCATGTTCCATGGAATAGCAGTTTTCAATCGGACAAGTCAGTCTAGGTGACTGATGTCTGAGGATACAGCTCTGGGCTGCCACGACAAAGTGTCTCCATGCTGTTGTGTCAGCGATCATCTCCTGTCGAAGTCGAAACCGATCGATAGAAACAAGTTTCGAAGGTACGGATCTGATCGGATGCCACCGGGGAAGGCCAAGGAGTAACGGACGGTGTTGTGGTCCCTGATGCAAACCAATGCGCTCAAACCGACAGTCAATTGAAGCAATTATGTGTTTCCACTTAATCTGATTGGATCGCATGAAAGCAAAGTCGATTCGGGTCTGATGACAACCATACAGAAAGGTGGGTACGTATTTCTGCTTGCAATGAACTGCAACCAAGGATAATTCACGAATCATGAGTTGGAAGTCATGTTTATCGGTTTGAAGTGCCTGGTCAAAGCGTGGATCATGACTGCCAATGGATTGCGAATCGCGTTGTAACGGACAATTGAAGTTCCCTATAATAACCATCATGTGGCTTTGAGGAGTATGTTGAATACACTGACGGAGTTTCCCCCACAGGTCCTGCCTTTCTTGCAACAGAACACGGCTTGACTTGGTCGTGCTCCAGGCCGTCTAATATATTGTGTACAAATCATGGACCCTGTCCAGCATCAAGCGAATATGCAACAATCTGCCTAAAATCAACACCGTATACGCCAACATGGATGCTCGGATCAATGTTTTACGGATCATGATAAGCTGGCTCGCAGCGGCCTCTTAAGAGTGAATGCAATACCAATGTTCAATTTCCCATTATCCATTAAACTTCCAGTTGGATTCTTGAATCAAGAGTACATCTTCGGGTCGGCCCGTAGACCAGCCTAACCATTTATGGTAACTCAAGCATTTTGTGGCATTCCAGGAGAGAAGCTTCAGAACAACACCAAATTGTTGTGCCTGTCGAGATCGAGGTTACAGTGTTGACCTTTGTATTTCAGCCTTCAAAGGACCTCGCAACCGAAAAAGCACGTCGGATGCTATAAAGCATCTGCCATGGTAACTAATGTGTCCAATTTATAATGCACGTTTGCATACCCTGCGGAACGAACGCTTAATACGCCTTATTCGAGACTAGTGCACCAACTAGCCGTAACCAAACATCGCCCAGACTTCACTGGCTTTCGTGCATGTTTTAGTAGGTGCAGGAGAATGCATTGCACTTTCGCCAACCCGTGAAGAAAGAAAGGTTGGCAACCCTCACGCCAGGCTTGAATCCTTGGGGTACAAAAGGTAGAGCATCTGGGTTCAAGCCTCCCGGATTTAAGATCGGGAGATCGAGTTCTAGGGGACATCTAGTGGATCAAAGTAGCTATGGTGAATATCGGAAGGAACCACATACCAATCTATGGAAAGAAAACCACAAGATCCATAGTAGTTAGCCCCAGACACGGCCGCGGACACTTGAACTGGAAATAGCACTTCCAAATCATAAATATTCCAAAATAATCCAATTATTAAATATCCTTTCCTCATCTTTCCATTAAAATTAAAGCCAATAGTCAAATATAAAGCCCCCCAAAAGCAAATATATCTTCGTAAAAAATCCCAAAATATTAATCGATGTTTAAAATTATTAATTTGGCCGAATTATACGCGTGTGTTTATTGATAGGTTTTATCGTAATATTATGAATAATATAACAAGAATATGTAATATTAATATAGTTTTGGATATTCGTTCAATACACGTTGGAGATACCTCCAATTGTAATAATTATGCAGAAAAAATTGTAACGATTGAACAAACATGAATAAACCCAATTAATGTGGATCATCCCATTCCGATATATATCCTACAGAGTCATTGACACATACCGAGGCCCCGACGATAATTCCCCTCGCTGGAGAATAACGGATGGTCACAATCACTGCATCTCCCACCTTGGTGTTCCACGTTGGTTCTCGTCGAGACCAGTGAAGTCTGTCTTTACCACCATTGAAGTGGCATAGTTTGCTGATCCACAATGATCCACAATGCACAAGGCCGTTTTGTTTGCTTCACCTATAGTAACTAACCCAAACCAGCGACCCGGTGTCTCGCTGCTGTTGGGCCTCCGGACCTTCAAGTCCGGTGCTCTGTTGACCGCGTCGTTCGGCCAAAGGATGCCGGCGAGCCTGAAAGCAGCGAGCCGGCATGCGCACGAAGTCCCATCTCAGCGTGTCAAACAGATGAGGCCGATACATTGTTGCAAATGATGCTGATGTAGAATTCTATCGAATTCTGCTTCGAAAAAGTTGAGAGGCTTGGACAATTGCCTCCCATCTGCTTGCTTCTCGATAGCAAGGCCTGGCAAAACACGACTGCCAATCTGCAAGGAGCCATGAGCCATGCTAATCAAACTTTAAAAGCAGCTCAACTTCACATCGGCCTGCTTTCGCCCACAAGCATCTCACCACGATGCCATTGACCTATACAGGGCAAGCGGCTCGGGACTATGGGCACTGCAACTTCAAGGCCTGCCTTTCCCTCAGCGGTCGCCACCAGACGTACCCGTAGCAAGGGCTGCCCATCCTTTCCTGCCAGCAGCCATTGCACAGTGATGGTCACAAAAATGATATCCCTTTCTTTTGCTTCCTCTACTTAACGAGGAGTTGCTCAGTCTGCTTAAGATCGATCGCTGCATCATGTTTTGTTCAAAACGCTCCTCTGGCGCTCAGAGCAGCCAAAGCTGTCGGAAGTGCGGAAGCTAAGGGAAGCGTCAAGGCGTCCACCTGCAGGCCATGGGGATCTGGTCAAACCTTGGGGGGCTGTTCATGTGGACTAAGCTCATGGGAACCTCCTGTCCCAATCCTTTTCCAAATGGTTGGAAGTGAACCGAACACCTGCCCAACTTTGGTATGTACATCATGTCTGTCTCCCGTAGCGCACGGCAGCCAAATCCTTGCAATCAAGCTCCCAAGTATAGACGAAAGGCGCTGAAGACATGACACTTGACGTAGACTGAGGCAATTCTGCAAGTTCTTTGCAACCAACCGGGTCATTAAATAGGGTGGTGGTGTCCAACCATTGAGTAAATCCCACGCATCCAATGGTGAAGTGGTGCAAACCCAACTTCACCCTGGTGGTGGGAGCCACACCCCACCTCAGCACTCAGCCATTTGGGCTTCAGGACGGATTCCTCTAAGCCTCAGAGTCTACGAGGAACCGGTGTCTGAAACCCGCCACGGTGTGGAACCGGTGTGGCTGCTGAAACCTGTCCGAAAAGTCACCATGGCCCTGCTGGACGAGAAGTCACCATTGACAGTCAGTCTGATGGTTGCTCTTTTTTTCAAGGTCTTCTTGAACTGAACACCCCCTGCGACCGGTTTAGCGGTGTGAGTGCTCGCTCTTCTCAGCTTCGCGCTGAGAAACTCTGTCACGCTCAACGCATTCACTTCGGAGACGTCCACTCCGCCAGGGCGTTCCACCACTCGCGTCCTCCTGAGGCAAAAGGCCGGAAATCCACAGAAATCCACCAGAATGTCTTCAAGATCTGTCTGCAAAAACAGGACGTGTGTGCGCGCATTGGTTGTTTTCGCTTCTGTGACAGCATGATGCGTTGAGGCGTAGCGACAACGTTTGCTGCCATCAACCGCCGATCCTTTCCAACTCTGTGCTCTCAATGAGACGGAGTTTCAAGGAGATCGCCTGGCAAAAGACGCAACCCCAGGTCACAGCAACGTGTGAAGAAAAGCAACTGGGATTCAAGCCTGCCACAACAAACTTTAAAAAATCAAAGACATGCAAAACCACATAGTGACATAATACAATAACTATTACAATATTGCACATCAGCTTCTCCAGTTGAGCCGTTCCGAAAGAGGCCGTCAGACCCGTCGCTTCGGCCTCGGGCACCACTCGAAGCTCACGTGACTTGAGCTGACCTGCGGTGCAACCGCTGCCATGCAGGGCCGGTATGTCAGTGGCCAAGAAACATGAAAACAACTCCACAGGAGTCTACACATGCATGGTCTACAACTCTACAACCTACACTTATCTACACTTATCTACATGTCTGGTATGTTTGGTACATCCTTTACCATCTTTGACCAAATCGAGTCAATTTGGCCTCCCAGGCTCCGCCACAGCAGGGCCAAGTCCTTGGGCGAAACTAATGCGGTCATCTTCAGGATGTCTTCCAGTCTTTGCCCGTCTCATAAGACTGTCAGGTCGTATCTATTCTCATCCTTTTCTCCAAATCCTTTTTTATGGACAAGAAGAATATATTCAATATAGTAATTAGCTCATCAGCTGCTAATCACAAATGATCCGAAACCGTCTGCTTCAGAAAGGTCTTTTTTTGTTTGAAGATCCCCTGGTCTCTTCCCCCCCCAAATACACCGGCACCCCCCCAAATCAACGGTACCTGCCGCTCGGGACTGTGCTCGGTGCCTGGAGGGCCTCAGATCGAAGATGTCCGGAGGCTCCGACGATGTCCTGCGTGGCTCGGGTCGCTCGGGACGAGTCGACCACGACAGGTGGGGAGGGATGAACGGTCCAGTCGTCGTGGACTGTCACATGCCTGGAATTCTATCTTCTATAGTCAGATTCTAATTCTTCTTGTTGCAGCACGAAAAGATTCCCAGGTTGTTCCAGGTATGAGTTCCACAAATTTCAAGAAAAATAGTAACAAGTGCATCGCTACTAGTAACAAGTGCCTTACTAGTAGTAACAAGAAGCTACTAGGAACAA